GTCCCCACAGAGCCCTGCACACAGGAAGCTGAGGCCTGCCCCCCACTGGCCACGGCTCCAGCTCTCCGGGGACCCACCTCCATCTGCCTGCCCAGGCCAGCTGCCCATCTCCTTGGGCCCCAGGGACCCGGTGGGCATCTCGGGGACCCCCAGTCCCGCTTCTCCTCCCCGCTACCTTGTGCAGTGTTGGGGTGTCCTCTGCACCTTCCTCTCTGTCCCCCCACCTCCCCACCCTGGGCCCGGGCTCTGTTCCTTCCAGGCCTCCTGGCCTGGCGTGGCTGGAGCCCCCTAGTCCACCACCTCCAGGTGTGCCCCCCATCACCTACACCCAACAGGTCCCCCTGAGAGGCGCACCCCCCTGTGCTGGGCACCGCAGGCCTCCAGGAAGCACCCCCTGGCCCCAGCTCTGCCCTGTCCCCCGTCCCATCCAGTCCTGCTTACTCTCGGGGTCCACTGCTCCGCCCGAGTGTCCCTCCTCCCTGCCCCAACCTGGGGGCCCAGACAGGCAGCTCCGAATGTCCTGTCTTGCTGGGCTGCTGCCCACAGGAGGCAAGAAGCCCAGGCCCCCGCCACCTCCCACCTGTCCACTCGGACCCCCCAGTGCGGGGCCTGCTCCGCCTCCCTCCAGGGAGCCTTCCAGATGGTGCCCACCAGCTCAGCTCCTCCGTCCAGCAGCCCCTGGATGGGGGGTGGCGGGCGGCGGGTGACCTGCATGCGGGGCCCTGCACCTCCCCTCACAGCAGCCAGGCCAGAGCCCAGGGCTGGGTGGCCAAGCCCACCGAGGGATGAGGGTCACTGGGCACCAGGTGTGGGCAAGCTACGCAGCCGGGGGAGGGAGTGGGAGCCATGCAGGTGCCCCCCCAAAAGCGGGGGCAGTGCAGGAGGCGCATGCCCACACCTGGCCGGACCCTGCCCTCCCAGGTGGCCCGTCTCCTGGAGCCCCCTATTCCACCACCTCCAGGTGTGCCCCCCATCACCTACACCCAACAGGTCCCCCTGAGAGGCGCACCCCCCTGTGCTGGGCACCGCAGGCCTCCAGGAAGCACCCCCTGGCCCCAGCTCTGCCCTGTCCCCCGTCCCATCCAGTCCTGCTTACTCTCGGGGTCCACTGCTCCGCCCGAGTGTCCCTCCTCCCTGCCCCAACCTGGGGGCCCAGACAGGCAGCTCCGAATGTCCTGTCTTGCTGGGCTGCTGCCCACAGGAGGCAAGAAGCCCAGGCCCCCGCCACCTCCCACCTGTCCACTCGGACCCCCCAGGGCGGGGCCTGCTCTGCCTCCCTCCAGGGAGCCCTCCAGACGGTGTCCAGCAGCCCCTGGATGGGGGGTGGCGGGCGGCGGGTGACCTGCATGCGGGGCCCTGCACCTCCCCTCACAGCAGCCAGGCCAGAGCCCAGGGCTGGGTGGCCAAGCCCACCGAGGGATGAGGGTCACTGGGCACCAGGTGTGGGCAAGCTACGCAGCCGGGGGAGGGAGTGGGAGCCATGCAGGTGCCCCCCCAAAAGCGGGGGCAGTGCAGGAGGCGCATGCCCACACCTGGCCGGACCCTGCCCTCCCAGGTGGCCCGTCTCAGCCCAGGAGCAGGACCCCAGGCTGACTTCAGACTCAGCACCATTTGGGGGGGGCAGGCAGCCTGGGGGGCGAGGGGACCCGAGTCACGTCCCCGCCTGCCCTCCCGCCCCCAGGTGGCCTTCATCCACTTCTTCTTCAACGTGGCTGGCATTCTGCTGTGGTACGTGGTGCCCGTCCTGCGGCTGCCCATCCCGCTGGCCAAGCGCTTCGGGGACGTGACGGCGCGCTACCGCTGGGTGGCGGTGGCCTACCTGCTGCTCAGCTTCCTGCTGCTGCCGCTGACCTGGGGGCCCAGACAGGCAGCTCCGAATGTCCTGTCTTGCTGGGCTGCTGCCCACAGGAGGCGAGAAGCCCAGGCCCCCGCCACCTCCCACCTGTCCACTCGGACCCCCCAGTGCGGGGCCTGCTCCGCCTCCCTCCAGGGAGCCTTCCAGATGGTGCCCACCAGCTCAGCTCCTCCGTCCAGCAGCCCCTGGATGGGGGGTGGCGGGCGGCGGGTGACCTGCATGCGGGGCCCTGCACCTCCCCTCACAGCAGCCAGGCCAGAGCCCAGGGCTGGGTGGCCAAACCCACCGAGCCCACCGGAGCAGTGGGGTCACTGGGCACCAGGCGTGGGCAAGCTACGCAGCCGGGGGAGGGAGTGGGAGCCATGCAGGTGCCCCCCCAAAAGCGGGGGCAGTGCAGGAGGCGCATGCCCACACCTGGCTGGACCCTGCCCTCCCAGGTGGCCCGTCTCCGCTTAGGAGCAGGACCCCAGGCTGACTTCAGACTCAGCACCATTTGGGGGCGGGGGCAGGCAGCCTCGGGGGGGCCAGGGGACCCGAGTCACGTCCCCGCCTGCCCTCCCGCCCCCAGGTGGCCTTCATCCACTTCTTCTTCAACGTGGCTGGCATTCTGCTGTGGTACGTGGTGCCCGTCCTGCGGCTGCCCATCCCGCTGGCCAAGCGCTTCGGGGACGTGACGGCGCGCTACCGCTGGGTGGCGGTGGCCTACCTGCTGCTCAGCTTCCTGCTGCTGCCGCTGGCCA